GTAACAATGAGATTTCAATTTATGTATATTAAGCTCATAAATCAAGTTTTTTATAGTCACAGTGGTAGACCCACATGTACATTGAAAATTAGGCTTAAAAAGTTGATGATTAAAAATGGGAATAAAACCACCAAGACAAAATATTAAATTTAACCACGATTAACATACTTATGTTTTCTTTATTTCCTAAAACCCATTGAGAAAACTCTAAATACAGACTTTTATACTTAATCTGATAATTTCTGAGCCATAGTATTTTAGTCTATATATATTTTGAAGTTTTATATACAGGCGGCTCATGATCTAACGAAAGGGATTAGTTGAAGAGTTTATTAATGATCTTTTAATGTTTGTGAACAGTAACTTTCTTTTTTGTCAACACAACCATTTAATTCATAACTTTATGTTCTCTTTCATTATTTAGTTCTACTTAACCTTAATATACACCTGCTTCAGCTTGGTCTTTAAATTTAGTTCTGTGATCTGATTGGCCAATAATTGCTTTACTTTATATTATAATTCATTGTTTATTTACATTAAATGCTAAAAATTCACTGTAAAATGCTTTTAAACAGCAAAGAGAATAATTTGTTTCTTCTTCCAAATCATGCCAAATAGAAGTTACAATGAAAGATTTCATAAAACATCTTTATCATTTCAAAAATTGAGTTCCACTCCCCTGTCTCTCTTGCTATCATTTATTGGTCTGGAATATACATGATATATGGAAAACAACCAAAATATTGTCAAAAGGTAGCACAGCATACTTAAAATACAACTGAGAACTTTCATGTTATCAGCAATTTGTTGCCCCCCTTTTTTTTAAATACCGCAAACCCATTGAGAGCAAAGAGAGGCAGTTTCACCAAGTACATGTTGTACAATAAATGTTCAATCTTTTAAGATAAATCACCTCTCTTTTTTATTAATATTTTTCGTGGTCAAATGTTTCCTAAACCACAAGATAATTCATGATTGTGGGAGTCAAAACTATACAAGGACTTCATATATAAGTAATCATTTCATCGGAAGTCATCATACCGCATCAAGAGCTCTCAAATCAATCAGTGGTTTAACTAATTACCACAACAGAGGGATGACAACTTGTATAGAAAGGCTCATTTATAATACATTCTCTGATCTGTTTTGGTTTAGTGTTATTTTTTGCACGGCCAGAGAGAATCTGACGAATCCTTATCAGCTGCATTAATCGTTACTTGATGTAGTTTGTATTGCAGAAATATTGTGCAAATCAACATTCCAAATCTTACTGTTGTCATCTCTCTATTATTTTGTAACAGTTGCCACCCTATATGATGTAATAAATAGAACATCTGCAACAAAACACTGACATTTCCGATTATAAACACTAACAAGCTGACAGATGAGGTAGAGACTAACCACAACCAAAACAAGTTGGCACTGATCAAATCAGAAGTGATAATGGACTGAAATCTGATAGTCTTTCCCTAATGTTTGGTATATTGTATCTGCCTAATGATAGAGAGGCAAGTGGCAAGATTATGAATTTAATTTCAACAGAATCTGCCTTAAATACCACAACCAAAACAAGTTGGAACTGATCAAATCAGAAGTGATAATGGACTGAAATCTGATAGTCTTTCCTTAATGTTTGGTATATTGTATATGCCTAATGATAGAAAGGCAAGTGGCAAGATTGTGCAATTAATTTCAACAGCATCTGCTTTATGAAAGATAGGCAAGTGGCTAGATTTCTTAATCTGCTTACAACTCTTTTACATATAGGTAAACATACTTAGTACTGTCAGTAGTTTCCAACATAATGTCTTTTTAGAGTTAAACAGTTTGTTAGTCTTTGCCGATCTTTTAGCAGTACAGAATAGAAATCATTTTCATTTAATATAATAATTTAAAATATTAAAATAAGAGAAGCATATTCACTTAAGATGTTTCAAAAGAGGCAGAAGATACTCAAGGGAGAATTAAAAGTCAAAAGTCAAACAAAGACTAACAAAATCAGAGCAAACAAGAATGTGTCCATAATACACGGATGCCCCACTCGCACTATCATTTTTTATGTTCAGTGGACCGTGAAATTGGGGTCAAAACTCTAATTTGGCATTAAAATTAGAAAGATCATATCATAGGGAACATGTGTACTAAGTTTCAAGTTGATTGGACTTCAACTTCATCAAAAACTACCTTGACCAAAAACTTTAACCTGAAGCGGGACAGACAGATGAACGGACGGAGGGACAGACGAACGAACTGACGCACAGACCGAAAAACATAATGCTACTATTGTAGGTGGGGCATAAAAATGAAAGTTCAAAGTTTTGCAATATTTACTATGATCTACTACGAACAGACCTCACTATCTTAAAATGTACTAAACTCAGTATTATGAAAGATAATAATAAATATTAGGTTTTGACGAGGTTCACATCTGTATAAACTTAAGTTAACTTTCATGTTTAACCGTTTTACAGTTTCTAAGCATGCAATATAGCAGGGTAATTACTTAACTGCATGGCTGTGTGTGGTTATATAAAACCAAATGATATTTGTCAAATTTAATACCTGGAAGTTTTAACAATATTATGATTAAAATTTACATGCTTAATTTGCATCAAGGAAATCTGAGTTAAATGAATCATATCTTGTTTATGAACTTTTAGGATACTAAAATTAGAACAAAGCCATTTCCTGATTTTGTTTGCCAAATTTTATTCTATCTTGAAAACTTTGAATTATCTTCAATTTATGATTTTATTGGAGATAATTTGACTTTAAGTCTTATTTCAGAGACCTACTGGACCTAAAGCAATCAACAATCAATTAATATATCAAGCAATCATTTCAGATGGACTGGAAATAACTAATTTATTCATACAAAATAAGTTTTAGGGGAAAATAACTGTTAGGTAAATATTTTTATGGTCCACATTCTGTTCCCCCATACCTTACAATGTTGAGCTGATCGCAGGTGTTGTTATGTAATATAGATATAACTTGAGGTAAGAACTCACACGAAACATGCAACAGACACCCTTAACATAACACAATGTTTATTTAAGAAAAAACATTGACTTGTAAAATGAAAATTCCTCAGGATAATATACACATTTTTCCTTCTTTAGCTTTGCTTTTATACTGATATATATTAAGTGTTAAAAGATTTTTGTCAACATAAAAATGATACCTTTCAATTTGTTGCATTTTAAATCAGTTTTCATTTTTTTTCAATAACTTTACATAATCTTAATGTTATTCTACAATCTGGGAATGTGTGGTTGATGATAAGATCTCCTACTGTAAAATTTATTTGTCATTTTTTAACTTTTGGACTAAGGACGATTAGGAGTTTGTATATTGTAGGTTCTGTAATGGTTTTGACCTCTCTATGTTTTTTTGTTATTGGGTTGCTGTTTCACAGATGAATACCATAAATCTACATTTATTTATACTCATTTGGGAATATCTGAAGTGCTTGGCCACATAATGTTATAGTTCCTAATGTAATTTTATATGGAACTGTAAAAAAAATACTGATTTGGTAAACATAACAGAAAGCTTAGGTTATCAAAACACAGAAGCATCTTTGTCAATATAAATATATCAAATTATGAAGCCACAAATACTTTCAATCTTCATCTTGTCAGACATGTAACAGATCAAGAATTTATAAGCTTCAAAAGCCTGCTCAATTTCAAATGAAATTACAGAAAATTATGAACTTTTATAGATTCTGTTGTCTACAGTCAACAGTCGTGAAGTTAAATAAGAGCAAATATGAACTTGAAGAGGGCAAAGCAAAGTTAAAAGGACAATATTTATCAAACTGAAGGGATTCACTGAAGCTTAGCTCTTTTATTTACAAGGAGAATATATTATATTCAAAAGCAAATATATCCACTCCTCGCCCTAAGCCTTTTTTGGACACATAGATCAAAACGATAATCTTGTCAACACTCATCAATAAAAAGACAACAAATTTCAAAACATTAATCTCTCCCATCTATTCTTTGTGTCAATATTTTTAAGTCTAATCTAACAAAGCGAGAAAACATTCATTTCATCACGCCAAATCTAGTTAAAACTGTTTATTCAACATTGTGGTTATGCTGTATGTATTCACAATCGTTGAGGTGGTGTTTAATTCATTTACAAAAGATAAATATGTATTCAGGGTGTTTTTATCCAATTTCAGGATAAAGTTATATAAGGGTAGATTACGAAAGTCAATTTACCGGATCTAATGAAAAGAAAACCGATATGAATAACCTCAAAATGGGTTCAGGTTACTAGGTCAAGGATAATTTGCATATTTCAACAGTTACCTAATGTTAATAATTGTTCATTAGAAAATTGCATGCTTTATAAATAAGAGAAAATTAATCAGTTATGATGTTTCTGATAATCCATACAGGGTTAAATATATGACCTTGTTTTCATTTTCCCCATCTGAGTTATGAACATCCTAGTAATGAAAGAGTAAAAAGTTCTTTCTGATTTGGAAATTTCACATCCATAAACTAAATCAGCACTTTTAATTCAAATTAAATAAATTAAGAGATAAATTAGTTCATCTGTGAAGTAGAATATTTCTTCTCAAAAATTGGAAAATTTATTTGATGCAACTTGCATGGGTAAATGAAAGTTGACTAGGTGTGTACGCTGTAACACCAACTGTTTTCACCACTTCTGCACTAATGGTCGTCCTCTTCAATTAGATCATGCACCAACTTAATTATGATCCTCCTTTGATTGGCCATCATGGAATTATTGTTGTCCTTTTCAATGTTGAAACCTTTTGTAATGCAATTTTTATTTCTTTCTCCTGGCCTGGATTTTACTGATGGACTAATTTGTATTCCAACAGTCATGGTAATAATCTGCTACACAAAAGTATTAAAGCATTATTAGTGATTATGCAAATCATAATTTTTAACCGACATTGTAGGTCCTTCAGATTAGTTAGGTCAAAATTAAGTTTGAACAATTATGTGTTTGCTTACCTCCAGTAGGTGCTGTGAATCTCCCTCATCTCTGTCCAGTGTAGCTCTTGTTGTTCTTATAACACCTACAAATAAACAAACAAAAACACTTATAAACAATGCAAATAAGAGACACACAGAGAAGATCAACAACAATCTCTTTTCAAACAATATCTCTATATAAAGTAGAAACTGTATGAACCAAACGTCATTAGTCAGCCATGGAAGTATTATATCACTTCCATGAGTCAACCATAAGACTAAATATTGATTGACTGTTGCTTGATTAATGTCCAGTGTCAAATATTTCATGCATATTCAGGACAAAGACATGTGGGCAACCTTAAAAGATGTGTGACAACAGAAAATCTGAAACTAATTTACAAGTAAAAGACAACATCTTTTAAGTGTTAATGATTAAAAAGAGCTCATTGAGACAGCAACCTAACAACAACAAAACAAAAGCCATAAGCAATACACATCTTGTGTTCAACACAATATTACAATGCAAATTATTATCTGAATGAAATTAATCACACAGCTAAAAAAGACAATTCAAATTGGATCTTAACCAACACAAATTTGAGTGTGTGAATAACAGGAGTAATCATTTGGAAAAATCACATTTGTAAAACATATGCACTGTAAGGAACATTCTAGGTTAAGCAACATAACAACAAGATATATCTATTTGAAGAATTTCATTCAAAGCAAACATATTTAACATCTTATAGTAAACATTGCAAAAAACTTAGAAATTTTCACTTGATCGATGATATTGCTTGCAGATGAATTATTGCTTTAGTGTAAGATAGGAATATCAAGTATTCACTAAGAATTACTACACGAAGAAATTGTATGAATCAGGATTATATTCACAGTGAATCTGATCAAATCAAGTCAATTACAGCAAGATCTAAGAATAGAGAGATAAAAAAAAATTGTGCCCCAGTTCAAGCAAAAACTGCTTGTTAATATGTATATTATGGACTTGAAGGTGTTCCTAATCTATGATTTTAAACTTTGTCAATATGTCAATACCAATACAAGAATTATGAAATTGAACATGACATATGCAGAAATATAAAACAGAAATCTATTGAAAAGTAAAGTAGTATAATACCCTTCAATAAAAATCTATCTATTTGACAGGTGCTTAGTTTTTACCTATACCAGTGGGGGGTAAACTGAGGTAAAACCTTCCGACCCCCACTACAGCTACTAACTGTCACTTGAGTCTTTGTCTATCATTGACAAATGATTGCAATGACTAACCAAGGCTTATTCAAATTAGACATAAAGACATATTTTACAGGATTAAGCGTCACATAAATTCTAAACAGAAATTATTAATGAAAATCGCCAGAAAATCAAAATTTTGTGTGCTTTGTCTTGACCACTATCAACAAATGACCTTCAAGAAACAGCAACCTCATCAATAATTATGTGTAAAAAGATTCTTTAATGGTACAATATAGATGAGAACTTATAATTTGCACCTGAGTAAAAACATTTTATAACATTGTATATTTGACTCTTGTACAATGTATCACTAATATAAGATTCTCCGATTTCCTTCTTACAAAGCACAGTATACATATTACCATATATAAAACATTATTTTACACCACCCACTGTGTAAAAGGAGGTGTGAAGGATCGTAGTGAAATCTTAATCCCATCACTAGCTATTTTCATCCACAATTTCATATAAATCAACTGTATACATAATCATAAAATAGGTCAAAGCTGAGCAAGCAAATTCGTTTAATTAAAATGACCAATGAAAGCTTTATAAGTTGAATATGAATATTACTGGAGATATCTGTTAAACATCAATGAGAGACCTATTAGGCTATAGTAGAAATATTTGCAGACCAATCAAAATTTTACAGGCCTGGGCTGGTGGGCCTGTGGCAAAGCGTGAAGACTTAAAATAGCAGAATATATCTTAAAGGTCTGCCTCAGTCTTCAATAAAAATTTAAAAGTAAAAAAAAAACGTTTTTAAAGGTTTCAGATATCAACACATGTACATATACATTTATAAATAAAGATGAAGATGCAGCCAATAAAAAGTAAATAATTTGCTCTAACTTGGTGCCTGCTAATGTCACTGTTAAAGAATTACACATGAGTTCTGTCAGGATGAAAATGCTTTTTCTTTAATCTCTCGCTTTTGATTTTTACATCGCTATGACCTTGAGGTCATTCCGATGTATTGCTATCGCCTAGATTTCCATTATGTAAATTAGTTTTGGGTTTGTAACCGATCTATAAACATGATAAATATGCGCACATAAACGAGTGCAAAATATCACTCCTTATTGTTTGATATAAATACATCTCTTCAATGAATACTGATAAAAATATTTTTGTTTACAACATCAATTAATAATATGAAAATGTTTTGTAGTTAGATATATATATATAATTAAAAAAATCATTGATAATATCAATGCACACGTATCGAAAAATTGTGTTAAAGCATGTGGAAGAATATCTCAAAGAAAGTTTTGCGACAATACTGGCAAGGTCCGGTAACTCTGTAATTGTTTTTGCGGGAAAATATGAATGCCTACTCGTATCCAATCTTAGAAAAATCGAATTTTTATAGAAAAGTGTCCACCATGCACTTGCTTTGCACTATTATTAGAATAGTAGAATAAAATGATATACAAATGGATGCAAATCATATATACATGTAACTGTTATTTTAATATAATATATAACAACAAATCAGTGTATACTGATTTGTATCACTACAATATAATAGTTATTACGGTGAAGTTGAATTTCCTGTCACTTATTCATCATCCACGAACGAACTTGTCTCAGAAAAAAATATATCTCTGTACATTAACCTCAGTTTCAGGTAAAGAGATATGTTGTTTTTTTCTGAGACAAGTGCTTTTGACCATCCTCAAGAACTTGTGGTCATCCGATGTTCAGTACTTCAGTGTACTTTGATTTCTCTAATAAGACACCCCAAGTTGTTTATTATCATGTCATAATATATAATATGATATCTATGATAAAAGTAAGTCAAAGAATTTTCACTCCTACAGTGTTTACTAAATTAATTTCTTTTATGCTTATTCATTCAAGGGAGATAATATGAAATTATTACATAACTGTCACTTCTAATTTTTTAATGAAAACTGACTCCATGTGACAACTAGCATTTGTGTCTTTTTGTTCATTACATTATTAAGTCTGAAATTAATAGCCTTCTTTTAAACAAGTCTACAGGGCAATTAGATAAGAGATAAATATAACAGACAACAACCAGTCACAATTAGTATATGCATTAAAAAAATATCTCAAAATGTAAACATTAGCCACATTATTTAGGTATGTCAGGCAGTATAATTCATAATAAAAATCACTTTAAGAATGCCTGTAATGTAATTCTTTATACAAATTCTTAATTTACATGTAAAATTTACATATTTTAGTCACAAATCATGCTATGAAGGACACTTTTATATTTTACAATAATAATTCATCATTTTGTGATGTTTATTTTCATTGAGCTGCATTTTAAAATAGCACAAATATGAAAAGTACAAATATTCATGGCCATTATTAGAGGAATATCACAGAAAATATACAGAAGACTAAAACATTCATTGATTGATTGATTGGTTGTTGGTGTTTCAAGGCCACTTTCAGCACTTTTGCCTACACATGGCGTCCAAAATTAATTGCTGGAGGATTAGCCAGAGTACCTGAAGAGAACCATCAACCTGCAGCAGGAAAATTGGCAATCCTAGTCAGTTAAGATAGGAGTTGAACCCACCTGCCAAGAGCAGGGTTCCAACTCACAACCTCACTGTTAACTGCTGTGATAACTGTAGATGAACTACTAAGACCACTAAGCCACAGAGGCCCCAGATGAAGACTAAATATAGCAAGGATCTTTGTTAGGTTGGTGTGTATGTTTGGTTGTTGTCTCACTGGCATATACCCCTGACAACTTCCTTTATTTATAATTGTAAATCTTTAAAATTAATACAATTTTGATTGACAAATAAAACAGGGATGAGAATAAGAATAGAAAGGGGTTTGAATAAATATAAATCATAGAGTTCATAAGCCTCTTATATCATATGATGGTGTAAATGTTTTTGTTTTGTTTTTTTGTTTTGTTTAAATGAATTCTAATTAGAGACCAACATTTTAAGACATAATATTATCAGACCAATTGCCAGCAGATATAATTCACAGAACATGCAGGATTCAGAATTTATCCCACTTTATCACAAATATTATAAAATTATCCGTAATGGTCGTCAATTAAAAATATAATACTGTCATAATCTTTTCTAAAGTCCTATTCAATTGTTTTCCCAAAGTAGCTTGATTTATGTAATGTAATACAAACACTATTGTCAAAGCCAATGACAAATACAGTTAGTGACAATAGCCCTCGCCTTTGTGTTAGAATGACAATAGCCCTCACCTTTGTATTACAGGGATTTTGTTACATAATAAATTTAATAGCTAATAATCAATGTAACATTAAATTTGCATAATTCTAATCAGTTCTAATAGGATTTCTCATAATTCTGTGTAATAATAATATGATTAGGTAAACTAAATCTGTTTCAATATATTGAGCAAATATAACCTGCCTAATTGATCTAATACACCTACTACAAGTTATGAATTGAGGTTAATTTTTTTATCATGTTATGAGCTTAAAGTGATAAAAGGAGATAATAGAGTAAATTCACTTGAAACAGATATCCTATGAAAAACTTACAATATCTCACTGAAACAGTTTTTTAATGCTGTTCTACATCTTGATTGTTGCTGGACTATCTTTCTATATAAATTAAAGAGCCCACAGTACAGCCCTCACACTGAATAAAACTGTATACATACACTACTTGACATTCACTGATATCTACTACATAAGTCTTTTGAGAAACATATGCAGGATGTATAACTTGCTATACTGTACGGGTTTTGCTCATTGTTGAAGGCCATACAATGACAATCATTGCTTTAATCCACATCCTTTTGGTCTCCTTGATTTTTTATCTTCTTTCTTTCCTCCAAACTGTCATGTGGTGGGATTTTT